CAAAAAAAGCAGGGGAATAACCCCTGTATGCTCATGGCACCCCTTCACTACCCTTTTTTTTTTTTTTTTTTTTTTGAGTCAGAGCCTCACTCTGTCGTCCAGGCTGAAGTGCAGTGGCATGCTCACCGCCACCAATCCTCAACCTACTGGGCTCAGGCGATCCTTCTGCCTCAGCCTTCCAAGCAGCTGGAACTACAGGCACATGCCATCATGCCTGGCTAATTTTTTGATTTATTGTAGAGACGAGGTTTTACCAAGTTGCCCAGGCTGGTCTCAAACCCTGAGCTCAGGCAATCCTCTCTCCTCAGCCTCCCAAAGTGCTGGGATTACAGGCTTCAGCCAACGCACCCAACCCACTCCACTACCCTTTCTTAGTCCTTACTACACTTGTGATCACTCCTTTAATATCTGTATTTCTCATTAGACCGTATTCCATGTGGACAGGAACTTCCTCTGCCTCATTTACTTTCATATCCCTAGTGTGTAGCAAAGCACTCAGATAGGAGGCATGAATAAATGTTATTTTTTAAATTGTGCATTAAAGTGAATTAAATCGAAGGTACATTTAATAAAATAGACAATCCAGAAATCTTATGATGCTAATATACACATATATATGTATGCACACACATCGTGGTTATTGATTTCTTAGGCTAAAATTAAAACTGGTACCATTATCTTAAGCATATGCTATTTGAGCACTAAGACAACAAGGCCTTAGAATAAGAGAAATTGAAAGTCAACCAAGAACTAAGAGCTCACCACAGATAGATGGGCAAGGCCATGAGTCATCTTTGTGCAGAGAATTGAGCCCTGATAGTATCAAAGAAACAAATGGCGAAAGCACAACCTGTTTGGACAAGTGGAGGCATTATTCACACCGCTCCAGGAGAAACCCCAAATAACAAGATTTCTGTATCTGAGATGGTTTGATGACCTACCAAGTCAAGGCAGCCAAATCAAACAAAATAAAACAAGAAACCCTCACTTCCATTTTGTAGACAAATGCCTAACTTAAGGGAGCAAGTCCAAGCAGCAAAAATGAAATCAGATGTGCATTTCTTTCCTTGCTTTGCCAGTTTTATAAGTTCTTTAGTTTGATCTGTTCCTTTATCTGTGGAAAAGGAATAATCACATCTGATAGGGTGGTTGTATAAAGTAAAGGAGATTGTATGTCATATTTATAAGCACCATACTCAGAATAGCTTTCCAATTCCCTGCCTTTCAGGTTGCAGACCTGAGAATTTCACATTTACCTTGGCAGTTCTAACATATTCTCATCTCTTTATAAACTCTGATTTGTATATCAGAAAGGTGAGAATGCCATGCTATATCTTGGATTGCTGAGAAGACTAGATGACATAGTGGGCATGAAGGGGCTTTGTCAAATACAAGAAACAACTTAAACTAGGAGTCAGCCAATGATGGCCCATGGGCTTTTACACCACAATGGCAGAACTGAGTAGCTGTGACTGAAACCATACGGACTACAGAACTGAGAATATTTACTATCTGGTTCCTTACAGAAAAGGTTTGCCTACCCTTGACTTAAATGTAGTGACAAAGGGCATAAAGATGTTAGCAGTTTTTTTGAGATTTAAAAAAATGCTTTTATAAATTATTGGTAAAATACCTGCCATATCATATGGGCTCAATAAGCAGATGTTGCTGCTGATCTTTCTTTATTCAGTTATGAATTCAACAAATAATGATTGCGTGCATACTATGTGCCAGGCAATACTCCAAGTGCCACAGAATACAGCAGTGAACATAACAGGCAAAAGGCCTATGCTCATTGGACAGACAATAAATAGGGAAAAATAAAAATAGTAGATTAAATGGCTGGGGGAAAAATAAAGGGATGGAGAATTAGGTTTCAGAATAGGTCTTGCAATTTTTAGATACAATGGGCAATGGCTAGGAAAGATGGCATTGAAAAGGTGATATTTGAAGGACTCAAGGGGACCCAGAATGTGCTGGGGTGGGGGACTGTGGAGTCTTGTTCTGGTAGGGGGAAAAAATTCACCCTGAGACAAAGGGTACTTAGTGTGTCCAAGGAGCACTAAGGAGTCTGTGAGCCGGAGTAGAGTGAACATGGGGGAGAACAGCAGGAGATGAAATCAGAAAAGTACTGGGCAAGTGTAGGCAGGGCTTGAAGAACCATCTAGAGATTCTGGCTTTTTCTCTAAGTGAGAGGAAGACAGAGTTTTGAGCAGAATAGTGGCATGGTGTGGCTTGCATTTAATCCAGATCAATCTGTTTGCTCCAATGAAAATAGACTGTGAAATGAACCAATTATAGTTTCATAAGTTGATTTGCAATATAAATTACAGCTTAATGGTATTACATTTGGGGGATATTGCATATTATTTCCATGGAAATTAATAAACCACTTGATGGGTGCACAAAACCTCCTTACAATATTTAAGACAATATCAGGAAGATAAAACTGCCTCTAATTTATGGACAAAAAGAATATGAGGTATCAGAATCCCACAGAGTTAGAATTGTTCTAACAGTTTAGTTTTTGCAGATTCTACAATGGCTTCAGCTTTAAAAAAAATTGTATGATTAAATGGCCTACTTTTTTTGATAAAAATCATTTCATCTGGGCAATTATTCAGGATGACCTGGATGGCCCTAACAAATGCCTCTTTGCTCTAAGACCAGTGTTCCTCAACCTTTCCTTCATTACTGCCTTTTTAGACACATTTTTTTAAACTGTTCACCCCATGGGCCAGGCACAGTGGCTCACGCCTGTAATCTCAGCACTTTGGGAGGTCAAGGTGGGAGTATTGCTTAAGCACAGGAGCTCAAGACCAGCCTAGGCAGCATAGCAAGACCTTGTCTCTACAAAAAGAAGAAAAAGCTAACCAGGCATGATGGCATGTGTTTGTGGTCCCAGCTACTCAGGAGGCTGAGGCAGAAGGATCACATGAGCCCAGGAAGTCGAGGCTGTGGTAAGCTGCAATCCTGCCACTGCACTCTACCCTGGGTGACAGAGTGAGACCCCAAGTCAAAAAAAAAAATCTTAATCTCTTGAAAAATTTTTATTGTGGAAAAATATACATAATTTAATATTTATCATTTTAGCCATTCATACACGTACAATTCACTGTCATTAAACATATTTACAGTGTTGTGTAACCATCACCACTATCTATGCCCAAAACTTTTTCCTTACCCCCAACATAATCTCTGTACCCCCTAAATAATGACTCCCTATTCCCCTCTCTCCACAATCCCTGGCAATCTCTATTATACTTTCTGTCCCTATTAATTTGTCTATTTTAAGTACCTCATATAAGTGGAGTCATACAATATTTGTCCTGTGTCTGACTTATTTCACTTAGCATAATATTTTCAAGGTCCATCCATATTGCAGCATGTATCAAAATTTCATTCCTCTTATGACTGAATAATATTTTATTGTCTGTATATCCCACATTATTGGTTGATAGACATCTGGGTTGTTACAACCTTTTGGTTGCTATGAATATCGGTGTGCATGCCCCAGTCCGACTTCCTGCTTTCAGTTATTTTGGATATATACCTAGAAGTGGAATTTCTGGGCTATTAAATTTTAATGCCACAGATACACTGTTTATCAGTTTATGGGCTGTATGTTTATCAGTTTATGTGCTGTATATGTGAGTATATGTATACATATGTGTATATATTCATACATTTTTATCTGTATTATATATATACATATATGTGTGTATATGTGTCTGTGCTTTCTTCATAAAGAGAATAAAATTGTTTTACCACCACCCCCAAAATGAATTTTCACCTCTAGGGAAGTGGCAATTGGGGTTGATATCACCCTCCTGGATAAAACAAGTTCTAAGGTACAGATCTCCAGGTCTTCTGCCTCAAATGAGGTACCTGCATAAGAAGTGTATGTAGGTAAATTGCTTAAACAGTAAAGCCATGGCTAAGGAAATGACCTCAAAACACATAAGTATGAAAATATTTATTCTCAATGCAATAAAATTATTGTATTTTATTTAGTCTTCAAAAAGGCCAATATTTGAAAAAGTAATGAACCCAAGAATATTTTGGAAGACAGCTGTTAGCAACTTGATGTCAGGACCAAGCCAATGGAGCAAATATTCTAACTAAGCTTTTGACACTCGAAGGGTCTTGATCAAGTACTGAAGCTGCAATGATTCATGATATTGCTATTCCCACTGAGCCAAAAATATTCCTAGAGCACAAATAGAATGATTTTAAGTATGTAAAGAAGAAAAATAAAATAAATGTGGTACCCAAAGATCAGAGAAATTGAAAGCTAGTATTTACTAGGTTATGGGATGCTTCTGCCTGCATGTGGAATGCATATTGGTATCTAGTTGGATGGCCATATGTCAAGATATTTGGCACATATTCTCTTAGGTTTTATCATAATGTGGTTGCCTAATGCTATATTATTTCACTGTGCAAAGAGGAGATTTAAAAGATTGTTTATGGTGTTAATAATAAACCCAACAGTTTCAATACTTGATCAGGACTCTTCAAGTGTCATCCAAGACAAGGAGAGACTGAGAAACTGTTAAAGTAGAAGACACAACTAAATACTATGTGAGGTCCTAGATGGCATTATGGAACAGAAAGGACATTCACAGAAACACTGGAGAATTCTGAATTAAGTCTGTAGTTAAGTTCTGTCGTACCAATGTCAATTTCCTAATTTCAACAACTGTCCCAGGATTATACAAGATGTTAACATGAGAGGAAGCTGAGTGAAAGAAATATGGGAATTCTCTGTATTATCTGTGCACGTCTTCTGTGAATCTAAAATTCTTTGGAACTGAAAAGTAAAAGAAAACAACCACCCATCAAGTTTCTGGTAGCTCCTGAGTATCAGAAGCAAACTTGAGACTGGCAAGTGCTGAAGAATGGATAGAGTGGGGGAGTATGTATTTGCAACATAGTAGCTTTGACACCTGCCATGAGAGTAACTTCTGTCCTTTGTCTCCTTTCCAATTTAATTGCAGGGTGTGCTGGGTGCATCATGTCACCGGTATGTGGGTGTACCCTTTCCTGGAACACATTGGCCCAGGAGCCAGAATCCTCTTCTTTGGGTCTACAACTATCTTAATGAACTTTCTGTACCTGCTGGGAGAAGTTCTGAACAACTATATCTGGGATACACAGAGAAGTAAGTATTGTGTGGGGAAGCATAAAACAAGAGAATTACTGCTGACAAGAGTGTACACAGAGACTGAGGGAAAATTCCACTACAGCTCCTTCTTTTATCCTTCACACAGGATCTCTTATGAAGAATTCCATTTTTATAACTACAGTATTAATTTAAGAGCTGCTGGAAGTTACCTGAAAGGTTTACTAGTCACTTAGTCTTATTAGCTAATAAAACATCCAAATCTAAAGTGAAAAGAGGCACGTCTATAAAATTTTATAGGGAAAAATGTAGTGTTAACGGAAAAAAAAAATTGAGGAAGCCTTCCCTGATTACCAAGATGCTGCCTTAGTTAGCTAAAGGGACCCCAACTCAAATAGATAAGTTATTAAATGTAACCAGTCTTACTAAAAGTCACCCTCATCTCCAGTTTCTACATCATCATTTGTGTCGGTGGAGTCACCTCAGAGAGGTCTCACTGCCATTATGCTAGAACTCTAAGCAGTGCAGAATGCTCAGGCCACCATGACACACCAGTGACTGTCATGTTGAAAGCTCGAAGGTGGAAAAGAGGTACAAGCAGAAAAGTGGTAAAGGGTAACACTTCATGACTGCAAAAATTCTCTTAACCTCCGATTTGGTTTCTCTTTTGTTCCCATATACGGCAGAGCCTCCATCTGGGCAAGGTACATAACTAATCAAAGCTGTGCAAAACCTGTCCAAAGTGTATGTCAGCTAACTCCAAAATGGTGGGAAAAGTGCTAGAACTGACATGTAGCAATTTAAGTCCTGCATGAAAATGCATCCAAAGGCAAGATGGTTTGGGGATTTTAGAGAGCTCTGGCCACCCTTTCTGCCACAGTCACAGCATTCTAGACATCATCAGTAAATGGATTCTGCACCACAGACATTGAGCCCCCTGCTCGGAATTCAATCTAATCAGACAAATAATAAAGCAGTCATTGTTTGGTTATCGTGCATATTTACTGAACCCGAATTTTGTGTTTGGATCTTCTAAGAGTGTACGCATCAAGGTATTAGCCAATGTGAAGTGGCCCAGAGGAATCAGGATACCCTAGCAGCTTTTTATTTTAATAAGTATTCTATTTGGGGGGAAAAAAAGTCAAATTTTTGTATTCAGTTCAGGCCACAGCTTGGGGGACCAGAAATTAATCTTTTAGTAATGTTCTTACCTGTTCTATAGGAATAGAAATCTTTCTCTGTAGAAGTATTCAGTTAACTTACAAAAATATTTTGAGAACAAAATGTAAACTTTTCTCAGCTTATTGGGGAAACATTTAAATTAAAGTTAATATGTCTAATAGCTGTTATTCAGGAAGTATTTATGAATGCCTGCTTCCCCTTCATTTGCTGGATTTGACAGTCACTTGGCCATAGTTTTACTACTTCTATGAGAAGATGACCTCAAAACCAGTAGAGATAAAAATCCAATCTAGATTAACGGAATGCTGTTTTTTAGCAACTTTGGATGAGATGATAAAAATCAATAATCAAATTAAGTTTTTCTGAATGACTTATCCAATTGTGTCATTCTCTTAAGTGATATGAGACAAGGTTGACTAACATTTTGTAACTCATTTCAGATATAGAGATTAATCTATATCTAGTTAATTCCACAGCAGTAAATGTTTGTGTCATATGGGCATCTTCCTCATTTACAAGAGGGGTCACAAACTGATGGCCTTCCCAAAATTTTACCTATCAAGAAGTTTTGTTAGGCCTACAGAGTGGGATTTTTGGTTTTGAGCCAACATTTTTAAATTGGGAGATTTCACCTAAAAGGAGATTTCAGCTGTTTATCAAATTTTTTTATTTGAAAGTAGAGAGAGAGAGATTTATTAAGCAGGAGAGGCAGTACACTCCAGAGAATTAGGAGCAGGCTCAAGCATGAGAGCAGCTCAAGAGCCTTATCAAATATTTTAAGATCTGGAAACACCAAGCCCATTCTTCTCTACTGGCAACAATGGATTTGAATTGAGTATCAGTCACCCCTCTTAAATGGCTCTTCAGTTTTCCCTGGTTCTCGCCTAGCTACTTTACTCAGTCCCATTTGCTACCTGGTTTATGTAGTAGTTGAGATGGAAACTGCTGATTAAAAGCAATGTCTACTGTGTGTGCGCACATTAGAATGAAGTGAGTACATCGGAATACAGTACAATTCTGATTTCTCCACACCTATTACTACACAGTTCCCTAAGAAAAAAGGAATTCTGCATTTGGGCCACCTTCCTTCTTTCCAAAATGGTTTTTAATGGCTCAGCCCCATCTACTTGGGTATGTTATGTTAGCTACAACTTCAAGATAAAAATCACCTCATTACAGAATCTTACAGCTGTGAAGATTAGAAATTCTCTAAACCAACCCATTCCTTTCATTAAAAGCAACTGCAGCCCAGAAATTTTAAGTGACCCAACAGAGTAGGTGACAGAAGAACCAACATCTTCTAACTAATATTCAATCCCGTGTCATTTCTAGTGAACTATCAGAATATCGTCATGTTTTGGAAACCCAGACACATGAGAGTGCAGAAACTTTGCTCAGAACCACAGACCTAGCTTATTAAATAATAAAATAGGCCAATCTGATATGAAATATGAATTTTTTAAAAACCCTTAAAATAGGCTAATTAATAGTCAAGCATAGCTCTTTATTTTAAAAAAATCACTCAAGATGACTTTGTGGAAATTGTTTTAGTTTTCTAGGCTGTCACAACAAAATACCACTGACTGGGTGCCTTAAACAGTAGAAGTTTATTGGTTCACATTTCTGGAGCCTGAAAGTTCAAACTCAAGTTATTTGCTGGTGGGATTTGTTCCTTCTGAGAACTGTGAGGGAAGGATCTGTTCCAGGCCGTTCTCCTTGGCTTGTCGTTATCCATCTTCACGTTTACCTGGTGTTCTCCCTGTATGTAAGACTGTCTCCAAATTTCCCCTTTTTAAAGGACAGCAGTCATATTTGATGAGGGCCACCCCGATGACCTCATTTTAACTTTGTAAAGACCCTGTATCCAGGTGAGATCACATTCTAAGATACTGGGGTGTTAGGATTTCAACATACAAATTTTGGAGGAACACAATTGAGCTTACAACATTTCTCTTTTTCTCTCCACCAGAATTAATACTCTCTCTCAACAGCTCCAAAAGTCTTTCCAACATCAACTCTTAAGTTTCAAAATTTCATCTTAAATATCAGAAAAATCGGGTGTCCATGAGACACAGGGTATGATTCATCCTAAAGCAAAATTGTTCTCTAGCTATGTGTGACCCTGAGAAACCAAATAAAAAGTTATCTGTTTCTAAAACAACAATGATGGGACAAGCATCAAATATGCATTCCCATTCCAAATGGGAGAAAATGCAGGGAAGAAAAGGGGGTCATCATTCCCAAGCAAGTCTGAAAGTCAACATGGAAAATTCCCTAAGAGTTTAAGGCTTGAAAGTAATCCTCTTTGGCTGGATGCTCTGTCCTCGGGGCTCACTGGGGAGGGAACGCATAGCCCTGCTTTGTAGGTACATGATACTAACAGCTCCTCCCCCTTGGCCCTGTACAACAGCCCTACCTCTGCAACCAAGGAGAAGGCAGCTCCTGAACCATCTTTGGAGTCCTTGGGCCTTCATTTCATCCTGTCTCTGTCCCTTTCAGTCCAGGCTGGCAATGTTTCTGCTGATATAAAATTCTCAAAAACCATATTGGCCCCCTATACAATTCACTGGAGGTCCAAGCAGTCAGAAAAGAAGGTATTCCACAGGTCTTTCCTGGATAACCACCTCTCTATTTCTGACATCTGTTGAGATGGTTGATTTTATACATGAGTCACATACCTAATTTTCTTAGCAAATGGTTGTCTAGCCACACCCTTGGTGTTCCATCACATTCTGAGATACTGAGGGTCGAGACTTCAACATATGAATTTGGGTGAGGAGGGACACAAATTCAACCACCACAGCAGAAGTATTTCTATATTTAAGCTAAGACTCTATCCCAGTTACAGTGTATCTGAAGTGGTCAGTCATTAAAGTCAAATTTTATATGACCCAAATAAGAGTGCCCAAAAACCAAAAGTTGGGGTGAGGACAAAGAAAGCAGGCAAGAGGAAAGGAAGGAGAAGAGGCTGGAGTCAGGCCTATCTGCACAGAAACCTCCACCTTTCTTCTCCTCTAACTGCCCATCCAGATCACTTTCCACATGGGCCCAGCTAGGCCTCACAATATCCGAGCACTACTTCCTGGTTGAGCCCCTTCCCCAGCCTGCAGGAAGGGCATGTGACTGACCTCCTCAGGGCTCATCAGTCTTGTCCCCTGTGTTCCCATAAGTGTATCCTGCCTCAGCTTTGTGACAGGTTTCTTTCTGCTTTTTGTGTGAAAATTATACCTCTGGGTCTTCCAAACATTGTTTACAGCTGTCTAATTTTTTTTCTCTACCTCACAGCTGCCAAATTAAAGTAGGTGGGGAGCCATTTTTCCTCTCTAGGTCAATGAACACCCCCTGCTCTCCGCCCCCGCTTTTGAAGATTCCACCATTACTGCCAAGTCAACCCATCTGGAGAATGCTTTGGAGGAAACAGACTTTAAAAAGAAAAGCAAACTGCTATTAACCCCTGAGATCATCTCCACAGGAGAGGGAACGTGGGGCAGAAGCTGAGCTCAAGTCACGTGTACTGTTTGATGGAATCTGTGCTGTGTTTTCCGACTTTGCCTTTGGTTGCCAAACAACGAAGGCATATTCTAGCCTTCAGCCGTATTCCTCCTCTCTTCAGATATCCTTACTCCTCAATTTGAAATGTTCCTGAATATGATTTCTGAGGACTTTGGAAAAAATGCTCCAGATCTCTGCCAGTTCCTTCACCATGAAAGTCAAACATAAAAGACAATCTGTGGACACCTGTTCAGAGCACGTTCCCCACTCATCATCCCCATTACTCTGACCCCACAAAACATATACTAGGAGCTGGGAGTTGGGGTGAGGGGGCCTTCCTAATGTAAACCCTATCATTATGACCATCAGAGGTTAGATGTTATTATTTTTTATATTTGGAGTCCCTGCTTTCCCACTAGTCCAACCTTCTAAGGTCTTCTCTGTGTTCATTGTTAATTTATTCAACAAAGACTAACTGAGCTCCTACTATGAGACAGACACTGTTAGGTGCTGGTGATACAATCAGGAACAAAATAGGTAAGAGAGAGCTCTCAGAGAGCTTGCAGTTTATGAAAGATTATTAATAAAATCTGCAAAATAGTATTTTGACTTCTTTTGTTCCCTTGTTAACATGGAAACAAACAAAATGTCACTGAGAATTTGGTATGATTAAAAAATCGTTTCACTAGAAGCAAAAGAAAAAAGAGGTGAGGAGCACTTACCAGATTGAACTGTAATTCATGAGAATGACTTAAACATTTTCATCTTCAGGAAAATCAAACATCATTGACTATTCTCCACAGACAACAAGCAAAGGTCTTACTGGTCCAGTATATACAAGTCCTTCCGGAAGAAAAACATAGTTCTACCAGGATTGGGTTGAATAGACGGAGAACTTGAGTTTAAGATTCATGGGTACGAAAATAAACAGTTCTTGTGGCTAATAATCTCTATGAGCTTTAAAAAAAAAAACTTCTTGGCTTTTGAAAATTCAGAATTTTTGCTTTGGGGAGGAACAGGACTAAAGTAAAAATAAATGAAATCTGTTTGGACTCTAGATGCACATCTCCTGTTGCTGGAAGCTGGTTAAAAATCAGTCTGGCTGGGGTTTCCATGCAAACTCAGCGAGTCATGAATCAACTTGTGGCCCTGCCTCCCAGAGGCCAAATGAGCTGGGTGTGTCCCAGAGATGCTGTGCCCTGATTCTGGGGAAAGGGTGGGGAGAGAGGTCACCGAGGATGTTTCTGGACAAAATTGTCAGTGGCTTTCCCTCTTAGCTAGGAGGAAAAAGTGGTGTAGCTAGCCAACAGGGTGGATGGAAGAAGTGAGGGGAGATGAGATTTGTGAGAAGCATTAGCAAACCTGCTCCTAGTTTAATCTGATGCTCAAATAAAGTACTTTGTATATTTCTAGGTATGGAAGAAGAGAAAGAAAGGCCTAAACTGGAATGAGATCCAAGTCTAAACAGAAGAGCCGGATTGAGCTGCCACTGAATACTCATTACACCCCTCCCCAGCATCGGCAGTGCAGGAGAGAAAGCTTCAAAGAAGCAGGGGCATTAGCACACCTCCCTACCCCGTGGGAAGACACCTTTTACATATAAATATGTATAAAAATAGAATACAGTTGTTTCCAAAAGAACTCACCTTCATCTTGTTTTAAAGAATTCTTCCCAAATTCATTATTGATAATAATACTTTTTTGCCTTTCTAGTTTTAAAACAAAAATTGGTCATTGGATTTTTATTTTTACAATTATAACTCCATCTAATCAAGAAAAAATACAATTCTATTGTGCTTCTTATTGAGAACTATGTTAAAGTCAAAGGCTTTCAAGACTTTCATGTATTTAATCCTGAAGATGGCTGGAATAATGAACCCAGGCCATCGTGTGGGTTTGAGAGGAACGGGGATAGATGTTTTCTATTGCAATAATGTCATAGTTGCCTCAAATGGGCTCTATTAGTAATAATGATATCAAGTTAGTCAAAGCCTTGGGTATATTTGGATCTACTGATGTAATCGTGTGAAATTTTACCTAGATGCAAACTCTAACTTTAATAAAAAGCAAACCCCAAACCTGATGCCTGCATGGTGCCTCTCAAAATCTTAACAACATTGGTGCCTTCTTTTAATTTTGTTTTTATTACCTTCTGAAAATGGGTTTCCTGAACATGGTTTTTTCTTAAAATTTTCTGAATTTAAAAATGTGAATCTTGATAACTCCAAAAGAAAAATTGTTTTAAAAAGCTAATTTACAAAGTCTGTGACCATAATTATTTCTAAAGTAGAAAATATACTGTTATATAAATTATAAAATATTACTTAACACAAATATAGGTATTGATTGTCCATGTTAGCATGGACAACAAGTGATATAAATTTAACTGTAATTAAATTTTAAAATGAAAAACATTAAATTGCTTTAAATTTTTGGAAAATTTTAACTTTAAATTACCTTGAAATTTGAATGTAATTTAAGAATTGCTAGAAATCTCTCTCCCTTTTTCTCTTTCTTTCTCTCACACACATACATACAAACACACATACACTAATACATGCATGTATACATAAATTGTTTTTCACTATCTCCTACATGCATATATACATACATTATCTTTCACTGTCTCCTTTTTTTGTCTACAACTTTCTAAGTGAGGCTGATTATTCCCATTGACTACTGCCAAGGGCCCAGTACCCACCCAAAGAGAAGTGAGGAGATGTTTGTAGGGGGCTCCTGATAATTTTTCTACAAATAATTCAAAGCAGATTTACTCTGATAGCTAATAAATACATTTATACTTTACAGTACATATATCTAATTTTTAACACACTCAATTATCAAAAATTTAAGCCTGAAGGAGAAAAGTCTAGAAAACATAATACATACCATAAAATACTATGAAAGAACTTTAGCCAAACATATCTGTTATATCAATAAATATTAAATGATTTGATTCATGTACTGATAGAAAAAGATGTTTAGACTAGATCACAAAAGAAAACCCAGCTCTATGCTGTATGTTGCAAAACAAACACAAAGTGAAGTACTTATGGAAGATTAAAAAGAAGATAAGCAAAAGTACATCTGAACATTGTAAACAAAGAGAAACAAGAGTAGTAATTTTTTTTTTTTTTTTTTTTGAGTTAGAGTCTCACTCTGTCACCCAGACTGGAGTGCAGTGGCCACTCTCGGCCACCACAGCCTCGACCTGCTGAGCTCCGGCAATCCTTCCGCCTTAGCCTTCCGAGTAGCTGGAACTACAGACGTGCGCTACCACACCCGGCTAATTTTTGATTTATTGTAGAGATGAGGTCTTGCCAAGTTGCCCAGGCAGGTCTCGAACCCACGGTCTCAGGCAATCCACTTACCTCAACCTCCCAAGGCACGGGATTACAGGCTGAGCCACTGAGCCCGGCAGAGTTGTAATTTTTAAATGAGACAATGTACAAGTCAGGCCCAAGTACCTCATAGTATGCTCACTCTTTATATGCCCTACTAATGAAAGCATGGTTGATGGAAATACAGAATGCATCTAACATTACCATATTGATTCCCTCCCTTATGGAGTTGGGATTATTAAGTAGGAAAGGTCAAATAGAAATCCATCAAAACAGGAAAGCAAAGCAATACCATACCTTGGAGTAATTGCTTCAATTAGTGCCGCTATCAAAGATGTGAAGTATCCAGATACTGGTTGCCATCACAACTACATTTAACTTACCTATTTGGCCTGTGTTACTGTTAAATTGTGTCTTCTAAAATTCATGTATTGAAGCCCTAACACCCAGCCCTTCAGAATATGACTGTATTTGGAGATAGGGCCTTTAAAGAGATGATTAAGTTAAAATGAAGCCATTAGGGTGGGCCCTATTCCAATTTGACTGGTGCCTTTATGAGAAGGGGAAATTTGGACACACAAAGAGATACCAATAATGCACACCCATAGAGGAAAAACCATGTGAGGATATTGTGAGGGGACCAACTACAAGCTAAGGAGAAAGGCCTCAGAGGAGTCAAACCTGCTGGCATCTTGATCATGGACTTCTAGCCTCCAGAACTGTGAGAAGATACTGTTGTTTAAGCCACCAATCTGTGGTATTTTGTTATGGAAGTCCTAGCAGTCTGTGCACAAAAGATTGATGGATTTTGGAGAATGATAATGAATTGTTGTAAATTTACTTAGGTGATGACTCCACATACAGCATCTCTTCCAAAAGAGATCTTCTTTTTGCTGGAGTAAATCAATACAGTCCTTGGTATATATGGTACAATGCTATTACAATTTTCTTTTACCTTGCAAGGACAGCAGTATGCCTTCACTATATTATCTCAAGGCTAGTTTAATTCTGGCTCTATATTATGATGTAGTCCACAGTGACCTTGATTGTCTAATAATTCCATGGAATATCAAGTTTCTATTAGATTGATTGTATCATACTGCTTAGAAAATGCAGTAAGTGCCCTCAATACTTTGGTAAGACTCATGCATGCCAGAGTATAATAGATAAATGACTCCTTCAAAAAAATTAGGGACCATTCACCTTTGTGAAGTTTCTAGGGCCCCAGGGACCTGAGTAAGACATGTCAATACATGCCCTCTAAAGTAAAATCAAATTGTTTCATTTTGCATGTATTACTACTATGAAAGAAGTACATTGGTTTGGTATGTCTTATCAGATTTTGAAGGAAACATCAGTCACATTGTGTATATTGTTCTTATTTCTAGACCACAATCAGAGAAAAATTAGGGTTATAAAAATTGAAATAAAAACTCTAAAATTATCAATTTGCAGATGACATGAATTTGAGTACACACACACACACACACACACACACACACATACATATACATACACACACACACACACACACACACACACACACCTGTTCCACTTAACTATCACTGCCAACAAACCACTTCAAAACTTCGTGGTTTAAAATGACAATATTTATTTTGCTAATAAATCTGCAACCTGGGCAGGACTTCGTAGAATGTGCTACTGGCTATCTGTGAGCTGACTTGAAGGCTGGTTGTCAAAATCCTCTGAAGGCTCACTCACTTATATGTCTAGTGATTGCTGCTGGCTGGACTGAGACCTCAGCTGAAGCTGTGGCTGAAACAACTACATGTGGCCTTTCCATGTGGTGGCTTGGCTTCATCCAATGTGGCTAAAGTGGCGTTTCCGTGTGGTTGTTTAGCTTTATCACAGTATGGTGCCTAGATTCCTGCAGATCTAGGTATAAAGTACATGACTTAATATGGCTTCAGGAGTCACTAGTGTCCCTTCTGCTGTAGTCATCTGCCTGCCTAGATTCAAGGCAAAAGAACATAGAACCCCATGTCTTGATGGAGAAGAATCAAAGTTACATTGTAGAGATAGTATATGGGATTAGGATATACTGGTGGTTAGATTTGGAAACTACAATCTGTCACACACATCCAGAGCAATACATGAAAACTGATGTTAAAATAAAAATAATTTAATAAGGCAAGAGGATATACAGTTAATCTATGCAAATAGTAGTTTGTATATATATACCAAGGTGTAATGGAATATAATGGTAGAAAGGTACCATTTGTAATAGCAACAGCTTCATGAAAAAATGTGAAAAAAATATGAAACTATTAAATGACACACAAGAAAGTCTGAAGAAATGAAGACATATACCATGTTCATAGAAAGCAAGACTATAACCTAGATGCCAAGTCTAAAGTTAATTTATAAAATTCACATAATCTTAATAATACCAGTCATTCTCGGTGTGTGTGTTTGTGTGTGTGTGTGTATGTTTACTGGGATCTCACTCTGTCACCCAGGCTGGAGTGCAGTGGCACAATCACAGCTAACCGCAACCTCAAACTCCTGGGCTCATGTGGTCCTCTCACCTCAGACTCCCAAGTAGCTGGGACTGTAGGCATGCATGACCATGCCTTACTTACTTTTTGATTTGTTTTGTAGCGACCAGGTTTCAAACTCCTGGGCTCAAAGGTTCCTCCCACCTTGGCCTTCCAAAGTTCTGGGATTACAAGTGTGAGCCACCGTGCCTGGTCCTTTCTTTGTTTTTATTCATTTACTTGTTTGTTACTTTTTGAAGTTAGACAAATTAATCCTAAAGGTCAAAATGCTAAAACTACAAACAAGGATTATTAGGAAAACTCGGAATAAACAAAAAAATATGAGAACTAGAAAACCAGCCCAAGCAAATATTAATGTATATTTTAAAATCCTGATTTAATAAAGTAGTATGAAACAGACTATGAATGCATCAACTGAGAGAAAAAAATAGAAAGATAAATAATAGAAATAAATACCTGTGGGAATTTGGAACATAACAAAAGGTGTATCTCAGATCAGTGAGGAGGATGGATTATTCAATAAATATTGTTAGGACAACTGGAAAGCCATGTGTATAAAAAAAAAAAAGTTGGATCCATAACTTGCATTTTTTACCCTGACAAGTTTTTACAAAGGACTTATCTTTCTAATATATACAGACATTTTTTTAAACTAATAGAAAAAAGTTAATAATTCAGTGAAAAAGAAAGTATCTCTTAAACAAATAAAAAGAATACATCAATCATAATAAGAAAAATACAAATTAAATTAAAGCCACATTGAATACCATTTTAACCTATTAGATTTGTCAAAAATCCTAGAGCTTGACAACACACTTTATTGAAGAGAAGTTGAAACTATAGACACTTTCATAATTGCTTGTAGGAGTACTAAAAGTCACAAGTCTAATAGAAAGAAATTTGTACTTTTTATAATTACAAATTCACAAAATAATTTGAC